TGTAAGGGGGGAGATAAAGCACTTAAGTGTGGGGGAGGTAATGCTGTTAAGCGCAACAACGAAGTGAATAGAACTGGGGGACAGGGTGCCCCAGGATGCTGCCTTATATACATGAGGGAAAACCCCCCAGGGACCGGTAATGGACCCCTGGTACCTAGCTGGGTAAGGATTACTAAGTATCATGTGCTCTATGATGTCATATATGATGTCATAGTCTGGCCCTGCCCTGCCCTGGGCCTAGGATCCAGAATTGACCGGCCTATGGCCTAGTGCCTGAGCCTAGCTCCTACCTATGATGTCAGAATGATGTCATGGTCCAGACAGAGTCTGGTTTCTATCTAGAAAAGGTCCGGCATCAGAGTCCAGCCTGATGTGTCCAGAACAAGATCATGTGTCGTTTATTTAAGCGGATAACCCCTTAGATATGCAGCTGTACCCATATGCGGACGGATAAGTATGGATAAGTCCCTATACCCTTTGATATGTCCACAGAAATAGCGGAAAAATTAGGTAAAATTAGGGAAACTGTGACACCACGACTCGCCGATCGCCGGTCATGGCGGCCGTGCCAAAACCCTGGAGCTCGTATCGCGGAACTACTGGTGGCCTGGGATGTCTAAATTCGTCAATGAGTACGTAAGCACCTGCGACGTGTGCAACCGTACCAAGACATTCCCAGCCAAACCCCAGGGTCCACTGAAGCCAAATGAGATCCCCGAGCGCCCGTGGCAGATCATCACCACGGATATGATCATCGGCTTGCCAAAGTCTGATGGGTTCGACTCGATCCTGGTTACCGCCGACCGCTTTACCAAGCAGGTCCACTTCTCAGCCTGTCACGAGACCCTGACGGCAGAAGGCGCGGCAGACCTGTACATCCGCAATGTGTTCAAGCATCATGGGGCCCCGGCCAAGGTCATATCAGACCGAGGTCCCCAGTTCGCTTTGAAATACCTCCATGCGGTGTACAAGGGGCTAGGGATCGAGCCTGCACTGTCTACAGTGTTTCATCCTCAGACAGACGGCCAGACTGAGCGCTGGAATCAGGAAATTGAGCAGTACCTGTGCGCTTTCACAAGCCACAGGCAGGATGATTGGGCGAAGCAGTTGCCGCTCGCGGAATTTGCACTGAACAACCGAGTTCACTCCGCGACCAGGCACTCCCCATTCTTCCTGCATCAAGGGTACCATCCTGAGATGCAGATCCTGAAGGAGATTCGTGATGACACGCGCTCTGCGCTCGAGCTGTCAGCTGAGCGTATGAAGGTGTACTATGACAAGCACGTGCAGGAGGCACCGGTCTTCGTGCCAGGGGACAAGGTCTGGCTTGATGCCCGGAACCTTAAGCTGAAACAGCCGAGCAAGAAGCTCAGTCCCAAGCGCCTCGGGCCTTATACCGTGCGGCGAAAGCTCGGAGACCTGGATTACGAATTAATCCTGCCAAAGTCGGTGCCGGTGCACCCGGTATTCCATGTCTCCTTGCTGAGCAAGTACACGCAGAGCGATATCCCGGGCCGGGAGCCGGAAGAGCCGCCTGCGATCGAGGTTGAGGGCGACGAGGAGTACGAGGTTGAGCGGATCAAAGATTCAAGGATCTTCTGGCGTCAGCTGCAGTACCTCGTCAAGTGGAAGGGTTATGACGATTCGCATACGTCATGGGAACCGGCGCGCAACGTTGCCAATGCGCCGGCCCTCGTAGCCGGCTTCCACCGGAAGAACCCGAACGCCCCTCGCCGCCTCAACGCTGCTACCTTTGGTGGTCTCAACTTCCAGCCAATGCCTTCGCCGCTGACTGAAGCACGATGCCGCTCCGGATGGGAGATGGGCAAGGGCGCCTCACATGAGGTCATGCGCCGTTGAGGGGGGGTAATGTCACGAGTTGGTACGGCGCCTAGCCGTTTTTTAATTTTTTCCTTTTCGCGGGCTCGAATCTGCGACCTCTGTACTACATGCCCAATATGGACGCGTCGCTATCTACTGTACGATTAGATTAGATGGGCAGCAGTGCGTGGCACAGCTCGGGCTCCGCTGACACAGCCGCTCTGACTCACCGGCCCCTGGGGCCGCGTTGGCATGCTGTGCACGGACCAGTGCGCACAGCCTCCCCTAAACATCCCCTGTATATAAGCCGGCCTCTGCTGCCCTAGGGACCTCAGTTTCGACCTCTTGTCCCTAGGTCAGTAAGCTCATGTATTACTTACCCACTTACCAATGCTAACTTAACTTGTCCCTAGCCTTAGGTTTGAGCCCAGCTCACCATCGCTTCAGTAAGAACTAAGTTGAACGCCCCCAGCGCCTTTGTTTGGTTTTCCCCTGTCACTTGACCCTAAGTCACGACATTTTCTAGATAGAAACCAGACTCCTTCTGGACCATGACATCATTCTGACATCATAGGTAGGAGCTAGGCTCAGGCACTAGGCCATAGGCCGGTCAATTCTGGACCCTAGGCCCAGGGCAGGGCAGGGCCAGACTATGACATCATATATGACATCATAGAGCACATGATACTTAGTAATCCTTACCCAGCTAGGTACCAGGGGTCCATTACCGGTCCCTGGGGGTTTTCCCTCATGTATATAAGGCAGCATCCTGGGGCACCCTGTCCCCCAGTTCTATTCACTTCGTTGTTGCGCTTAACAGCATTACCTCCCCCACACTTAAGTGCTTTATCTCCCCCCCTTACCATCAAGCTATAAGGTGGGTTTATAGGTTTTGT